TCTTGAACCCGCGGGCTCAGGCAATCCACTCACCTCAGCCTCCCAAAGGCGCAGGATTACAGGCTGAGCCACTGAGCCCGGCTGGGAATATTTTTTAGGATAGTCAAGGAAGGGTTACCTAAGAAGACACTGAGACCTGAAAGCTGAAGGAGGCGTGGGCTGAGGTCTTCTACTTTTGGAGCCGGTTCCTTTAGCTCTGGCGGATAACCCGGTAGTGGGCCACAGAGTCTACACCGAGTCTACACCAAGTGGTTGACCGCGGTGCGCTTCGCGTGTGTAGACGCCAGAAGCGCGCCGAGAGCCAACGCCAAGTCTACAGTCGGCTCCTGCCATACTCCGGGGCGCCTCCGGAGAGTCTCCCTACCCCTGACTCCTCCCACCCCATCCAGGGTTCTCCCTTCTCGGGCTCCACGGTCTCCCGCGCCTGCCCGCGGCGTCTCGAGTCCCAGCTCCCCAGCTCCTCGGTTCCCCGCCCCCTTCTTCTTTGTCCGGGGTTTCTCCCTTCAGGACTCCGCTTCCTCTCCTCCCTCTTCCTGGGCCCGGCTCTTGCCTCTGTGAAACCCCCATAAGTCGTCTGGTAGAACTCATCTTCCTCTTCTGCCTCCAGAAGCCCAGAAAGCCTGTTCCCAGCGGTCTTCCGAGGGGCCCGGCCCCCAGCCAAACTCATACCGCCTACCGAGACTGCGCCGCCACCAACGAGCCCTCACCCAGCTCGGTTCTCCGAGCTCGGGGCTCGACACCACTACCTGCGGGTGGCCGCCGGCGCCGGAAGTCGGGCGCCGACAGGCAGAAGCAGCAGAGTATCGAGGGGCCTCCAGTCCCACCCTCTTTACTCTTCAGCTCCGCCGCCTTCGGGCTGGAACCTCTAAGATCCTGTCCCAGCGCCCGGCCATCTGGCTTGCTGAGTGACTTCACGCGGTAGCACGAGGACTCCCTCCCCATAACTCTAAGTCCAGAATTTGGGAGTCAACACGTTTTCTTTTAAAAGAGGTCACTCTCAGCCGGGCTCGGTGGCTCAGCCTGTAATCCCGCGGCGTTGGGAGGCTGAGATGAGTGGATTGCCTGAGCCCGCGGGTTCGAGACCCGCCTGGGCAACTTGGCGAACCCTCGTCTCTACCATAAATCAAAAAATCAGCCGGGCGTGGTAGCGCGCGCCTGTAGTTCCAGCTACTCGGAAGGCTGAGGCGGAAGGACCGCCGGAGCCCGGCAGGTCGAGGCTGCGGTGGCCGGGAGCGACCACTGCACTCCAGTCTGGGCGACAAAAAAAAAAAAAGAGGTCATTCTCGCCGGGCGCGGTGGCTCACGCCTGTCATCCCAACACTTTGGGAGGCGGAGACGAGAGGATGGCCTGAGCCTGGGGGTTCGAGACCAGCCTGGGCTACATGGCAAGTCATCGTCTCTACAATAAATCAAAAAATTACCCGGGCATGGTGGCACACGCCTGTGATTCCAGCTACTTGGAAGGCTGAGGCGGAAGGATCGCCGGAGCCCAGGAGGTCGAGGCTGTGGTGGCTGTGACCGTGCCACGCACACTAGCCTGATGGCAGAGCGAGACTGCGACTCAATAATAATAATAATAATAATGTAATTCTCTCATCAGTCCGTTTTCCACCCTACTGCCAGTAGGATCCTTTCTAAAAAAAAAAAACCGGTATCGGTGCCACAGCCTGTAATCCCAGCACTTTGGGAGGCCGAAGCGAGTGAATTGCCTGAGTCCGCAGGTTCGAGACCAGCCCAGGCAACTTGGCCAGACCTCATCTCTACGATAAAATAAAAAATAGCCGGGCGTGGTAGCGCGCGCCTGTAGTTCCAGCTACCTGGAAGACTAAGGCGGAAGGATCGTGGGAGCCTAGCCGGTCGAGGCTGCAGTGGCCGGGAGCTTGCCCCTGCACTCCAGCCTGGGTGAGGGAGTGAGACTCCAACTCACAAAATATCTACATATTGTGATTCAGAACAGAGTCTTAGACTGGGCGCGGTGGCTCACACCTGTAATCCCAACACTATGGGAGGCGAAGCCAGGGGAGCCCAAGGTTTCGAGGTAAGCTTGGCCAAATTGGCGAGACCTCGTCTCTACAATAAATTTAAAAAATTAGGTGGACATGGTGGCATGCGCCTGTGGTTACAGCTGCTTGGAACGCTGAGGATCGCCTGAGCCCCACAGGTGGAGGCTGCGGTGTGCGGTGGCCGTGAGTATGCCACGGCATTCCAACCTGGGCAATAGTGAAACCCCCACTCAAGACAAAAACAAAAAACAACAAAAACATTACCTTAGAAATGTATCTGGCCGGGCGGTGGCTCAGCCTGTAATCCCAGCACTTTGCGAGGCCGAGGCCAGTGGATTGCCTGAGCCCGCGGGTCCGTGACCAGCCCGGGCAACTTGGCAGGACCTCGTCTCTACAATAAATCAAAAATCAGCCGGGCGTGGTAGCGAGCGCCTGTAGTTCCAGCTACTCGGAAGGCTGAGGCGGAAGGATCACCAGAGCCCAGCAGGCCGAGGCTGCGGTGGCCGGGAGCGGCCACTGCACTCCAGTCTGGGTGACAGAGCGAGACTCCAACTCAAAAAAAAAAAAAAAAGAAATTTATCCAAGTCGGGCGCAGTGGCTCACACCTATAATCCCATCACTTTGGGAGGCGGAAGCGGGAGACTGAGCAACAGAGTGAGACTCCTACTAAAAAAAAAAATTTCTCTAAAGAAAAGGAAATATCGAAGAGACATCTGTGTCTCCATGTTTATATTGCAGCACTATTCACAATAGCCAAGATATAGGAACAATCTAGGTGTCCAACAACGAGTAAAGAAAATGTGATGGGGGGAGCACAAAACATCAATGTGTACCTGACCCCAAACCAGGCGAAGTGGGGACCAAAGGGGGGCCCTAACTTCACCTGTATGATGATGACATGTACCTAATCCTGAATTGTACCCCACATCTTTAAAATTAAAAACAATTTTTTTTTTTTTTTGAGTTGGAGTCTTACTCTGTCACCCAGACTGGAGTGCAGTGGCCGCTCCCGGCCTCGACTTGCTGGACTCTGGTGATTCTTTGGCCTCAGCCTTCCAGGTAGCTGGAGCTACAGGCACGCGCTACCACGCCCGGCTAATTTTTTTGGTTTATTGTTAGAAACTATATATATAGTTAGAAAAAGTTTATTTAGAAGGTAAATTAGAGGAAAAGGGTGGATTCACCTCCTCAAGATTGAAGAGGGGTCGCCAAGGATTGAAGAAATGTTTCGCCATCTCCTGAATATATTAATGAATTAAGGCAAGATTCAAAAAGTGGAGCTAGGGAAATTTACTAAGCAAGTATCTCCCTCTTTTCCCAAAATCCTTGTCTCTGCCTCTACTCCCACTCAATCCCTGGGGTGCCCTCTGAATCACGGAGCCATTCTTCCTCAGTAACATTCTTGGCTAGTAGAAGTAGGTGATGTGGCAGGGTGTGGAAGCAGGGGCAGAGTAGGACACTTTGGCTTGGTGCCTCCAAGGAAATTGAAAAGGGAGTTCAGCGATACTTACTTTGTTTTTTTGTTTTTTTTTTTTAGTTGGAGTCTCACTCGGTCGCCCAGACTGGAGTGCCGTGGCCACTCCTGGCCACCGCAGCCTCGCCTGCTGGGCTCCAACGATCCTTCCGCCTCAGCTTTCCAAGTAGCCGGAATTACAGGCATGCGCTACCACACCCGGCTGATTTTTTGATTTATTGTAGAGATGAGGTCTCACTGCCCAGGCGGGTCTCGAACCCGCGGGCTCAGGCAATCCACTCACTTCAGCCTCCCAAAGGTGCAGGATTACAGGCTGAGCCACCGAACCCAGCTACCAATATTTATTTTGGAAAAGGGGGCAATGTGGCGACCTCAAAGTAGGGTCACACATACAGAATTGAGTTCGTTAAGTGCGCGCACAACATCTTCATTAAAGCATCTTTCATGTCTTAGAACAGTTCTTAAGGTCAGAATAAAGAGGCTGGGGACCGGCAAGAACAATGTAGAAGCAAGAATAAGAGGATGGGGCCAGGCATGGTGGCTAACACCTGTAATCCCAGCACTTTGGGAGGCTGAGGCAGGAGGATAGCTTGAGCCCAGGAGTTTGAGAACAACCTAGGCAAAATGGCGAAACCTTGTCGCTATAAAGAATCAAAAAAAAGCCGGGCTCGGTAGCTCAGCCTGTAATCCCACGCCTTTGGGAGGCTGAGGTGAGTGG